AAGATTAAAGATAAACGGCTACTCATATATTTAAAGTAGCATGATTGCATGTGGTTAACTGTCTGTGGAATTAGCCTGTTGCTAAGATGAATGAAGCTTCAGCATGCCAAGTTTGCAATTTTTTAGGGGGAAAGATCATCGTTCACATGCAGAGCACTTCATCTTTCAGCCCCCTCTGTTACCAAAATATATCTCCATCGATCCATACTCCGCTCGGACGTAGTTTTAGGCGGTGACCGCCCAAAGTGGTCGTGTTAGCCTGGATATAATTATCACTGAGAACACAGCAATAGTCCATAAGTGTTGCAAACAACTTGTCACAACACGTTGCATCCTCAGCTTTCTCCTTGGTCAATAATTTGTGGTGGGCAAAACAAGGGGTCTTCACTAGTCTATGCGATTTCTGTTCAGTTTTGATAAGCCTTGGTTTTAATTGGGTGAAGCACCGTCAATATTATCACTGGTGAACGAGCCGACCTGACTCCGGAGTGTTGATCCGCCAAGGAGGTGGTAGGAGTTATGAGAAGGTTAGCTGAAGTTATGCAGACAACTCGTAAAACTGAGAAGCACACAGAAAAAAAATATGGTGGAATGTGAATCAGGTTTACATTCAAGAGATAGGAGGTCGTTGAAGGATGAGTATTTTATGCTACTAAAAGGAATATAATTAATGCAGGTGACTGAAGCCGAGTGAAATGACTTGTCACGAAACTCGAAGCCATGCAAATCAATAAACGATCAACTGAAAGTTTAAGTCAATTCAGAGAATAGCAATTTCCCCAGTCACTTAGATAAACCCTTCAAAATGTCTGATGTCAATCATTGACTGAAGCAAACTGAATTAAATGCATATTTATTCGGTCTAGGCAAACTGCGGATCAACTTCCTACTCGTTTTGTTTGTCTCGGTCAGTAGAATTTGATTGTTTTCGGCCGTCGTGGGGATTTTACCGAAAAATACTTATTCTCTACTTCTTGAGTAAGGTTTGCCATTTTCTCTCCGATTTTAGAGACGCTCGTGGTCGATGGAATAAGTTTATCGTAGCGATTGACGCTACCCGCCTTAAAATTTCTTCTGCACAATTTCAAGAATCCTACCTCTGTCGCGAATTAAATAAGGTTTGCTTTTTTTTTATGGACTCAAAATGCCATTCTTCTTATAGAACTGCCTTCTTTATCAACCCTTCGTGCTACTCGGGCCTATTTAGTTCTCCACATTTAACTTACATTGGTACTAGCACTTATTTCTAAGGCAGGACTGACTTTGTTTAATCATTGAGCACTCACATTTTCTGTTTTATGTTTAAAGGCTTTCATTGGGTTCACTGACATGGCGGCTCCTTACGAACGCCTACCGAGCACCGTTGTCAGTGGCAACTGGGGCTGTGGTGTTTTCAGGGGCAGTAAAGCCCTCAAAGGTATGCAGTTGTTTCCCGCCCACTACTATGCCAGTAATATTTCCCAGCCAATAAAACTTGAAGGCCTATAGCGCTTCGAAGTGTCCTAGGGACAGGCATTAAGTGGATTAAGCCCCCGCAAATGCCGCCGTCCCAGAACATATTGAAGTTTTTATGAAACAGCACGATATTCAAGTCAGACCTAATCAAACCCACTCCTGGGTATGACATCCAGAAAGTACGATGGATGGTTTGCTCCTCAGACACGAAAATTAGTCACGGATACGAGGCAGTTTCCATTACTGATTTAGTAAACGTTCGCCAGTTGAGCCCATTCTTTCAGGCATGGCATCTGGCCAAAACTATGGCCGAGTGTGACGGCTGGACTCTAAATTTCTAGCAAATTGTTTCACCACAGTTAAAAAATGCTTACATCAAACCCGGAGCTGTTAATGTACTCTGCAATCCTCTTTTTCGGTGCTTTTACATTCCGACTGCTAAGGGCCTTAGGAGCCGCTGTAGAGCATGAGTCTGATTGATTCTGGGGTTGTGAATTCTGGTACTGGCAATGGTCGGCAATAAAGTTCTAACTGAATAACTTAATAGTATCCCCTGGGTCAGTGGAATCACTCATCGCTCAACTTGCCGATGATCAGCCGAGCGTCTGTCTGGTGTCAGTATTTTTGCATATGGAATGTCCGTTGAACGTGTTCAAACAGATAACCCTTTTTGTCTAAATCTCATTCATTCAACTTTCATCCCTACCCTTAGCGTTACTTCAACTCATGGCATGTGCTCAGGCTAGGAAAGCTCTGGCATACTCTACCTTTGAGGACGAGTCCTTGGAAAAAGAACTTTAGCGGACCTACAACAACCTCGTAGACTCGGAGTGTACTGTTGGTAAGCGTTTGATATACAGCTTGTATTTTACTCATAAGAGCCGCATCCATTATGCGGGTCTTCACTTTGTAGACTTTATGACTGAATGTTAGTTGCCTGCAAATACCATAGAGGGGATTGGTTTAATCTCTGCGAGATGACATCCAATTATGTGATCGAATTGTAGGGCACTACATATTTCGATTTGGGAATGTGGCCTTATAGTGATCAACAGACAGTGATCGACAAGTTCTTAAAACAAAGGCAAAGTGATGTGGACTGCAGTTCAAAGTACATGTCCCTCAGATTAGAATAGGACTCATTGATAACGTCAAATAAAACTGAGAGAACACTTCTTCGTGTTTCTTGTCTACGTTGATAATACTTCACGCCCTAGTCTCTCCATGTGGGTAGATCGTTATTTTGTTGTGCATAAACATACATTGCCAATAAAAGCGAATATGCGAGTCCTAAGCAGTAACTGAGAAGAATACGACTCGATCGCTGGGACAATAATTTTATTCGCCTGACGTTTCGAGATCCATCGCCGATTCGTCATCAGAGACACAGTCAGATCGCAATAGCAGATGCGGGTAGCGTATGCACAGGAGTTTACAATATTTATAGGCTAAAGTCATTACTGAAAACATACAACGACAATTTGTATCAATTGCCTTCTTGCGTGTTGATAGTTTGTTGAACAGCATGCGGGCTCTGACTTGCTGAACTTTCATCATGCGTGGTGGACTCGGAAGCGATTATTGCTCCTCCATCTGGCCCTCCTGTGTTGGCGTAGGACGACGCGGTGGCCTGTCCGTTCCCCAAGTGGCGACTTGCTTTGACCAAATTGAGTCTCAGCACCGAATATGGATTGGACAAATCGTTGTACTTGTTTATGGATAAGGGGTCCGTGAACCATGACTCAGTTAATTCTCTGTTCACCGGATTGTCACCTCTTGCGAGAATTTCGGCCTCATTAAATTTGAATGTGTGGCC